GCCAGCTAAACAATATTATTATACCCGAAACAAGTTTACAAAGTCAATACTCAATACAAAACTTACGAAAACAAATTATTACATAAATAGAAATATGCGTCATCTTCTAAAGCCGATATAAAATAAGAAGGGAATTTGACGATGCGTTTAAAGCCTTACATGCTAACGAATTATTAAATTCGTTATTTTCTTCTTCGATAATCGAACTTTTTATGCGATAATTGTGCATGGCCATCTTCTCTTTATAGACACTTTAAATTGCACATCGCATTACAAAATCCAATGCTTTCGATAGTAGCTCCGAACATTCGACAATTTGATACCAATCATTCCGCATCAAAATCATTTTATAAAATATTGACTTTGGTGTCCTCTTCAATCGGTTCCAATAAAAAAACAAATCTTGTGACGTCAACCATTGTAACTAGTAAGGATGATGTTGATTTCCTTCCTTCACGTTCATGTATCCACGTAATCGCAATTGATATCCCAGGCTTCCAAATGCGACAAGATGTGAAACAAACACCCTCGAAAGGGAAAACAATCCAGCTTGAAAACCTACAAAGTGATTTTGTCGATTTTGAAGTCATGGAAGGAAAACCTCGAGAGGAGGACATGAAACCAAACTTTCCACATCCATATTTCAACCACAGTGAAACATAGCGACATAAGAAATAAATTTTGATAAATTTGCATACGAATTTCACCAAACTGAAGATTTCAAGGAAGTAGTAACGCCGACCAACATCACCAAGTAATTGTCGCCGGAAAACTAAACTAGAAGATCGTTGGTTGGAAGTAATACATCCTAGAATCCACCAAATGTTGATACTCATCATCAATTCAAAAAATAAAAAGGAAAAGGCGATGTACGCGGGATCAATGGTGTCCAACATCACCGTCAATTCCCAATTTGCTTTTGAAAACACAATTGCAACATTGTAGTTATCACTCGTTTCCTCTCCAAAAACCATTCGATCTTAGACGAGAATAGAACTAAACTAACACATAAAAGAAAAGAAAACAATGTTTTGATGAATCGCCTTTGTTATCGTTGGAAGAAAAGGGGTGCGATGGGGTC